TCCCCCCCAGCAAGGTCAGCATCAATGTCATCACCGCACACACACACACACACCCCCCCAGACACACACACACACACACACACACACACACACACACACACACACACACACTGAGGGAGTCATCAGGCTGAGTCGAGATTAAGATGCCAGGCTCCCCTGAGGACAGCTGGGGCCGGAGGTGTCTTTCAACGGCCTCATTATTTTAATCATTATGCGTTTTCCCTTCTCAGTTAGCACCTGTGAGCAGAAGTTCCCGCCACCCACCACTGCAGACATTGGCGCCACGGCAGACATCAGAGAAAGGAATGAAAGCCCCACTCTGGTTGAGCACCGTGGGAGCTGGGATGACAGAGAGGCTAAGCGTCTGAGAGTCAGGATGGAACTCCAGGCTTCCTCTGATGCAGCCTGAGCTGTGTTCCGGCCCCGGAGGCAGATGAACAGCTACGGGGAACAGCAGACAGCCCCGACTCAGCCTTTGGTCAACCCTGAATCTGGTGTCTAGTGGCCATGGCACCCTGGACCTGGTACTTGGTCTTTCTGAGCTGGTCTCCTCATCTGTAAAATGGAAAGACTACTATTTCCTCTTCCAGAACTCGGGGGTAGCTCATTGGTAGACCTCTTGCTCCAGTGCACAGTGCCTGGGCTTAATCCCCAGGGTTACTGTTCTGCGGAATTGTTGAAAAGAGTAATGAGGCCTGGCATGCACAAAGCCCTGGGTTTTATTCCCACCACTGAATAAACAGCATGGTAGTGCACACTATAACCCCAGCTCTTAGGAGGGAGAGACGGAAGGATCAGAAGGCCAAGCTCATGCCTGGTGGTGGTGGTAGTATTGTGCTCCCCAAAATATTGTGCACTCTAATAAACGTATCTGGGGTCACAGAACAGAACAGCCACAATATTAAACATAGAGGATAGGCAGTGGTAGCACACACACCTTTAATCCTAGCATTCCAGAGGCAGAAATCCCTCTGGATCTCTGAGTTTAAAGCCACACTGGAAACAGCTAGGCATGGTGACTCATGCCTTTAATCCCATGAAGAGAGCTTTTAATCCCAGGGAGTGATGGCAGAAAGATAGACGTGAGGACCAGAAACTAGGAGCTTTTGGCTAGTTAAGCATTCAGGCTTTCTAGAAGCAGTTCAGCTGAGATTCATTTGGATAAGGACTCAGAGGCTTCCAGACTGAGGAAACAGGATCAGCTGAGGAACTGGTGAGGTGAGGTGGCTGTGGCTTGTTCTGCTTCTCTGATCTTCCAGCATTCACCCCAATAACTGGCCTCAGGTTTGATTTTATTAACAAGACTCTTTAAGATTCATGCTACAGGTGGTGGTGATGCATGCCTTTAATCTCAGCACTCGGGAGGCAGAGGCAGGAGGATCTCTGTGAATTCGAGGCCAGCCTGATCTACAGAGTGAGATCCAGAACAGGCACCAAAACTACACAGAGAAACCCTGTCTTGAAATCAAAAAAAAAAAAAAAGAAGAAGTTCAAGTTCATTATCAGCTATAAAGTGAGTTCAAGGCTAGCCTGGGATACATGAGACCATGTCTAAAAATAAAGCATCTAACACACGATGCTTAGTAAATGCTTATAAGCATACCAATCCCATGCCAGCTGCTAGAGAGCTTACATGAATAAGACAGGATCCTCACACTGGAAGCTTAGCTTGTGGCTAAGGCAGGTAAGGGGGCATGGCCCACACTGCCCATTGGTGGTGATGGTGGCTGGAAGGGACTGTGGAGTCCACAGCTTGGGAATACGTCTTCCTGCCTGCTGGGGAAGTTAATTGGGTGATACTAGAGACTGAACTCACGG